TATGTTTTGACGAATTTATTTCAACTCCTTGCTATTCATAATATGATGCATTACTTCATATGCAAAAGTGTTTCGACAACATTTTCTTTTTAATTATATTTCTTTATATAATGACATAACTTATTGAGATATCACAATTTTCAATATTTCAGGTACTTGAATTTTTTTTTTTAGAATTTTAGAATTTGTTATGTCTTAATACTCATCAAGAGTATATGTCTCCTAAATAGAACCATCTTTGCTAATTACTTCACTTTCAANCTCACTAATGTATTAGAGACTTGTGATTACATTCACCACATGATAATTTATCTATTTATACAAGTTTTCGCGATATTCATTATATATATAGTCGTACTATTCATTTTACGACTTTACTTTTTCCATTTTCATTTCACATAAGTATACACCTCTAGGTGTTCGGACTCATGTCTAGAAATTTCAAGTTATTCTAGTAAGTTTAATTTTACTAGGATCGCGTCCAGAAACTTTAAATTTCTCTAGTAAATTCAATTTTGGTTAGATTGCATCCTTTCATTTGACCAATTATTTATTCGATCGATATGTTTTGACGAATTTATTTCAACTCCTCGCTATTCATAATATGATGCATTACTTCATATGCAAAAGTGTTTCGACAACATTTTCTTTTTAATTATATTTCTTTATATAATGACATAACTTATTGAGATATCACAATTTTCAATATTTCAGGTACTTGAATTTTTTTTTTTAGAATTTTAGAATTTGTTATGTCTTAATACTCATCAAGAGTATATGTCTCCTAAATAGAACCATCTTTGCTAATTACTTCACTTTCAATTTGAGATTTTTATATGAAAATCGAATATCATCTATTTTAGGCATGTCATAAATTTATCCAATATAATATTAATTTATTGTCCTCCAAAACGTAAATTTGAAGATGGAGCATTTAAAACTGATGTGTAAGATATTAATGATTTTTTTTTCAGTAAATGCATTTAATTAAATGATCTTTCGAACTTTTGGTTCACACGATCTTTCGCGAGCATTTAGATAATGATGCATTTGTACATTATTTCCGATTTCTTAATTCTCCCCATAATGTTGAAAGAAATGTCCAATCAACTTGGAAACAAACAAATTGCATTATAATATATCACTCATTTGGAATAAAAGTTCAAACTGCGCATTTATTCTTAACATTTTTTATTTTTCATCTCAATGCAACATGGTGAATTAATTGTAAATAGGGGTGTCAATGAGTTGAGTCAAGCCACAATCCGAAATTCGAAGCTTGGACTCGACTCGAGCAAAATTGGTTTGGACTTTTTTTGGCCTGAGTCGAAAAATTGAGGCTCGGCCCGAGGCTCAATTTTTTTTTCTCACAGTTGTCTACAGTTGAACGTTGCAGGCAGTTGTTTACCTTTTTTTTTTTTTTAACGAAGCTTAGCCCGTCGGGGCCGATCGTGTAGCTCATCGAGCCACACGGGCTGGCTCGACACGAGCTTTGACTTGTTGGTCTCGAGCCACGAGGCGACTCGACTCGACTCAGACTTTTTCCAGGCCAAGCCACAGACGGCCCAAGCCTGCGAGCCATTTGACATCCCTAAATGTACATATATTGCACTATCAAATAATTAGATGAAGAAATCAGACTATAATCATAAGCCAATTATAATATTGAGAACTTGATATTGATATGATACATAATAGCATTCTCTAAACGGAAATATGAAGTACTTTGTTCTCAATTAAATTAATAGGAGGTGCTTAACAAGTAATAATGTTAAAACATTTATCAATATCCCAACTAGAACTTATTAAAATATTGACATTTATGTTCACTAGCATTAACAAGACACATTGTTTTGATTGGGTAACTTGAAAATTATAGTTCTAATTTAAAATTTGAGTAGTAATTTCACAAATTTCGGGTTATGAACACAATGCAATCATCTAGTAGATGTATCAAATATATTAGATACAAATAATATCTAGATGGTCAATGTGAGGGATGACGTGACCCATTATCAACCTAATTAAATTTTAGAAATATAGGGAATTCAGTCCCTATTTTAGCTAATAATGGTTAATGATCAATTTCCATGGAAGAGAACGGACATCATATATAATTTAATTGTATTGAAGAATCTTCTGGCTCTTTACTGAATATCCATTTTGAATTTTTAATGTCGCATCATTATTTATCCAATGAAGATCCAATTGATTATGCCAAATAATAATAAATTTAGTAATTGAACTCTGGTCTAATACAATGTTTCAATTTTGAATAACTATTTAATTAAACAAAAGACAGTCAATTCTTGAAACCATGATTAACTATGATATAATCATATAAAAATTAATGTCCACGTGACATGAGTTATATATTTTCCTCGAGGGATAAACACTGATTTAAAATGATATATTTTCGAGATATGTGCTATTTCAAGAGCACGTTATATTTTACTATTACTTTTTCAAGAGCTATATTGAAATAAAATTCATGTTTTTCAAGAGTAAAAACATAATTTATGTTAAATTTTATTTAATTATGTTCTCTAGGAGCGTGTAAAATCTAATTAGAACATCAATATATAAAAACGTATGCATAAGAATGGATACGTAAAGAAATAGAGTAATTTAATTCGTTCTTTTGACGATAAATCAATCAATATTTTAGAACATTGAAGTTGTAATATCACGCTCTTATGTAACAATTAATATTCTTTTAGAATATTACGAATATTGTGCTAATTTGGGAGTAATAAAATATTTGAAGTAGACGGTCTACAAGCAATATTTTTTTGGAATATTAAGTATAATGAGGTGCTAATTTCGAAACAACAGCAAATTATTTGTAATAGACGGATTTATGATTAATATTCTTATGAAATATTAATTATAATATTGTGTTATTTCAGGAGCAACAACATGATTATCAATTTAAATTTTGTAAAAGGGCCTCAAAAATATTTAATCATGTTATAATATTTAATAATCATCATAAACGCATATATTTTACAAACATAAAAAGAGAAATTAAAGAAACAAATACATGAATTGGATTGAAAAAGTAGGTATATTAATGTGAATTTAACTTTCCCGTTAACTTGAAGTTACTTGATTTCAATATTGATTAATGATAATAGATATGCATACAGACGTGTAAATATAGAAACGGTGGTGGCTGCCCACAATTATGCAATAATAAAATAATTTCATTCAAATTGGCCTAATTCATAAACTCCAAATTCACATAATTAAAACTCAGAAAAGAAAAGAAAAGAACAGAGAGAGAGACCTTATAGAAATGAAGTCACGAAGGGAGATACTAACCCATTACTTATGCGAGAGTATATACTTGCATGAACAAAAGTGTGTGAATTAAAGCAAAGAAACAATTTCCCTGAGGGTCCGTTTGATAGGTAAATATGGAAAGAAATTCAATTTCATATTAGTTGGAAAATAAAAACTCACCAAACATATAAGAATTAGTTTTTTATGAAAATAAAGAAAATGCAGCTTAAAGTGGTTGTACTTTGGAATTCGTTTTCTATTTCCACGTTGCAATCAAACGGTCAAAGTGGAATTCGTTTTCCTTGGATGTGACATTTTTCATAGAATTCGTTGCAATCAAACAATGCCTAATTGATTGCGGTAGAAAAAATTCCATCAAATTCTGTGTAAATTGCGAGAGATTAAAACTGAATTCACATAATTGATATCAATCCATGATTGAATCACACACAGTGTCACCAAATTGATTTTGATACATGTGATAGATAATCATGCTTATAAAAATTACTATCTTCACTAGAGTTTAAAAAATTAAACTTTCATGTTGATAACATATTAGAGAGAAATAAAAAAAAAGATAACAAAAGAAAGAAGCCAATAAACTTGTGTGTTTTATTAAGAACCAAAACTTCATATTTATATGAAAAAAATAGGGCCATAAGGAATACAAGTCATAATAACAAGTGTTGCAGGAGTATAAAAAGTCATTCATAACTGCTCGATAAATATTTTAAGTACCAACTTACTTTGTTTTTAACAGAGAGGGTGAAAAAAATATGTGATAATATTTATTCTTAAAAAATGTAGACTTATTTTTAGTGACTAAATTTTTGATAAATATTTTAAGGACCAACTTGGAATCTCACACAAACTTCAATGACTATTTGTGAAATTAAGTCACGATTTCAACTTGTTTGGCAATATGAGAGATTGTCAACGTGACAATTTAATGGTGTAACTTTACTTATTTGTATCCACTAATTAGGTTAGAGAAATACTTTAAGGACCATTTTTAAATTTTGTACAAACTCCACTGACAATTTCAGTGACTAAATAGGTCAGAAAAATACATTAAGGGCAATCCTTTATTTTTGTACAAACTTCAGGGACTTTTTTGTAAAATTAACTCACTCTGCAGCACTCTGTCACTTTATTAGAACATCTCTAGCAAATTCTATAAACGCAGAATACTCTCTATTTTATAGAGTCGATACTTGAAAATAAATTTCAAGAAATTTTCTATTTTAACTTTTAAAATAAAAATTGAGAGTCAAAATCAATCTTTATTCTTAATTTGTGCTTGTTTGGTAGAGATTTTTAGGGAAATAATTGATTTTTGAATAGTGATATGATGGGAAATGTGCGTTTGAAAAAGAAGAAAAAATTATTGATGTGATGGAAAATATTATTTTATTGAAGAATGTATGGTTGAAAATGAGAATTAATTTACTGTAGAATTTGAGAATTCAAAAACAAACGGGCCTTTAATAATAATTGCATTTAATAAAATACTTTATAATTTAAATTATTCAAATAGCGAAATCCAATATTCTTAGCATCTCTTTGATCGTACTGTGCCAATCCACGGTCTAAACCCATTTCATTCCAATCGGACGGTCAGCATTCGTTTCCGTAGACAAATTTATACCCCCCCCCCACCCCCCCTCCTCCCCAAAAGTCTGAAATTACTAGTGAAAAAATTTCGGTGAAAGCAGAGCGAGAAGTGTACAGTATCTATCTTTCATTTAGAAGGTGCGATTCATAGTTTTTATTTTTTTGCAGAAACCCTAATTCCTCTGATCTCAATATCCTGCTTTTGTTTTGTTAATAATGGATTAAGATCTAGTTGTATAGGTTTTAGTTCCAATCTGTATCATTGCCATTGAGTGTTTTGACTTCGTAACTAGGGTTTGGGGTTTATGGCTAAATGAAACTATTATTTGAAGTTGAATCTGTATGTTTGAGCCCTTGAGTGTAAGGGAGAGGTCTTCTATTTTGACTTTTTTTTTTAAGTTTTGTGGGTGAAGAATTAAGCGGGGATAGGGAATCGATGGAAAAAGACCCGGACATTGTGAGGTGATACAGCTAGGTTTTATGGGGATATTTTGATAAGGGTTTGCATATTATCAAATAAATTTAAGGTTTAGAGGTTCTGTGTTTTACTTTTTCTTCTACTCTTAAACAATTATTTTGACTTTCTATTTTTTAAGGGTAGAGAGGAAATGGAATGGAGCTTTTAACTTGGTTAATTATGGGATTTTGAATAAATTTAATTTTTATAAGAAAATTTAGCAAATTGCAGTGGTCTTAAGTTTTTCAGTCTTCGTTTGTGTGTACATTCATTTTTACTCACGGTGAATAAATGAAGAACACCGTCAATTTGTTCTTTGAAAATTTTGTGTTCTGTAATAATTTCATTGACAGTCATTTATGGGAAAGTGGTCTTGCAGTTTGTATGGAACTTTACGGATGAGGATATTCATTCCAGTCTTTGTGAGGAACGCTTGCAATTAAGTCATTTTTTTTTTTTATTATTATTTTTAGGTACAAAAATGGCTTTTGTCAACAGAATTGGCAATGTGCTAAAAAATACTTTGAGCAAGCATGTTCGGTTGGAAGTATCAGCCTCCAATCCAGTACTTTTCCAGGCAATAAGAAGCATGTCATCTTCAAAGCTATTTGTTGGAGGTGCAAGCTTTCTGCCTTTTACTTTCTTGTCAACTGCTTATTTTTTGCTTCTTGTTAATTATTCTTGTTTTCTATTGCAGGTCTCTCATATAATATGGATGAAATGAGTTTGAGGGAGGCGTTCTCCGGATGTGGCGAAGTCGTAGAAGGTAACTGTTGTATCTGTACAATTGACTAAAATTTGAATTTTATGTTGATTTTAGTGGTTTGGTATTTTGATTTTCAATGCTACAGATTGATACTCTAGATGGTATCTTGATAAGAGTTAACTTCATCTGTGTTGGAAAACTACGTAGATACTGTTGAATGCCAATTTACTAGATTTTTCGCTATTCATTTGTAAATGTTATATCGTGTTTTGCCATATGTCTAACTGTCTATTCACTATTGGTTTCAATAGTGTTAGAATGATCGTAAATAGCGATTTGATGAAAGATTTTTGACGATGACAAGCTTTCTCTTTCCATCATCAGTTGATCTGAGGTTGTTTGTGTAAATGAGATATACTGTTTTCTTGCTTTATTTAACAAAAAAATGGTGCCAGAATTAATATCAATACATCTTTTAAACACAGTTGGTGATTCTGCAGGTGTCATAGGTGGTGATATTTCTGATAAATTAAACCTCTTATCCTTCAATATCTATTTGTTGCAGCTAGAATAATCATGGATCGTGAGACCGGTAGGTCCCGAGGATTTGGCTTTGTGACCTATACATCAACTGACGAGGCTTCCAGTGCCATCCAGGAACTAGATGGCCAGGTACTTAGTGCAGTCGGCGTATTTTACAATAGCTGAATCAGGATGCATCTCCCACTACTGCATAAGCTCCTTTTTGTTAACAAAATGCTATTTTGACACTCAGCAGAACTGAAATCCCTTTAGATGGATTTTAATATACTCATTATCCAAGATTTATTTAATCTTATATATCAGTTTCGTCTCCAGAGATAAATGTATCCCCTTGGAAATATTTGTGAATGAGCCTTTGCGAACAATTTTACCTAGATTTTCAGGTGTCTAATGCCTTAGACAGGTATAGTCCAACACCTTGATGATCTACTTGCATGAAGGATAACATTACAAGAGAGTTTTCTTAAGCATCTACTTAAAGGAATTAATAATTTGGAGTGAAATTAGACTAATGTACAAAAATTGGGAAGCACTGCCTTTGTCTTGAAGGTATCTTTGCCAGTAAGTCAATCTGACCAAACAATACTAGATGTGTTGGTTTTAATATTAAGATCTGCAACCATGGCAAGAATGTTTTGTTATACTTTCTCTGAGACCAGTGTACTTGAACTTGCTTCCTATTGCATGAGTTGAATTTTTTAGATCCATAAATTGGTTTTAATGACTTGTAACATCTAACTTTTCACGTGATTTCTCAGGAACTTCAAGGGCGAAGGATAAGGGTGAATTATGCAACAGAAAAACCTCGGGGTGGGGGTTTTGGGGGTGGATTTGGTGCAGGCGGTGGATTTAACTATGGTGGTAACTATGGAGGCTCTGGAGGATATCAGGGTGGCAATTTTGGTGGTGGTGGTGGTGGCAATTACCCAAGAGCAGATGGAAATTTTGGAGGAGGGGGTGGATATGGGGGTAACAATTACCCCAGTGGAGGAGGTGGATTTGGTGGTGGTAGCAGCTATCCCAGTGGAGATGGGGGATTTGGTGGTGGTAGCAGCTATCCCAGTGGAGATGGGGGATTTGGTGGCGGTAAAAATTACCCCAGTGGAGGTGGCGGACATGGGGGTGAAAGTGGCTTTTCCGCCCCGGGATATGGTGGAACACCTGAGACATACAGAGAAGTTCAAGAACAGGTTGGCGGAAATCAAATTGGAACTGAAACTGAAATTACTGATTTTGGTGATGATATGGATGCAAACGACAGGAATGAGAATGAGGAGCCGAATGATTATGCCAACACCAGGAGCTGAATCCTTTCAAATGCATCCCCAGTAAACAATAGTATTATAGGAGCATCCTCTGGACTTGAACAGATTTTATTACTTTTTCTGCCTTCAGTTTTGCAATGTTGATGTGACCGGGTTGTTTCCAGGTGGTTCTAACCAGTTAATAAATGTATTGTATTGCGTTGCATTGCATATGCATCTTTTTATTAGAAGAGAAAATGATGCGCTTTAGAGGGTGAAAAAAACAACTGTTGCATATGCCTTGGGTTTTTGTGCTTCAGAATTTTGAAAAGATTTGGAAGTTGATAATCCCCTTGCCTCGTGCCAAAATAGGAAATGGGGAAGAAAACAGATTTAGGACCATTTTGGAAGGGCTTTTGAAAAGTTAAAGCCTGCTTATGAAACTAGTATTGAACATGTTGGATTATTTTATGAAAGTATTTTATTTAATTACTTAGGAAACTTTTCTACAAGTAGAAACAAAGGTAAAGTCTTGTCAAAAGAGATCTTAATTGACTTGCCTGATTTGAGAACCTATCAAGAAGTGTGTAAGAGTGAAGATGACTAATTTCATTTTCTTTGGTAAGATTGTACAAGGAAAATTAGAAACCTTAATTGACCAGTTGACATCTTAACACCTGACAATATCATATTCATCAATTTCAGAAACTGTTAAAAACTTTTATTAAAACATGGCCCGGATTTTGACAACATCAATGTTGTCGATAAGAGTTCTGCGTATAGCTGTCGTGGAAATTATAGGTCTTCATGAACCTGCAATTGAGTCGATGGCGTTTAGCATTTAAGATTAACCCTTGTAGTGAGACGAAGAAAAAAGAGAAACTGAGCAATGCTTTATAAGAATAATATTACAGAATAGGTAATTCAACATGAAAAGCTTGAGAGGAAAAATCAATCGAGTACAAAATATCATTATTGAGCTCTCAAAGTATCTAGTGAATTGAAATAATCAATTGTGCGAAAAGAACCACGGGCAAGATGCAGCAATTTGATGTTTTATTCTTTTATGCTTCTCGGTTTGGTTCGATATACTTGATTATCCCTTTGGAGCAAGGCAACACATGAAATTCACATGTAAAACCGTCAGGTAATTGTTGAGACAGACCAAAATAACTCCTGACCAGAAAATATACGAAATGTAACATATCCTCCCTGACCTTTCATCAGCCAATACCATCAGGGGTCAAAAATCAACTCCCTGGCTGCTTCAATTGAAGGAGATCCGGTAGTTATAAATATAATATCAGCCACAGATAATTTATCCTTCTCCAAATATTACATTTCCAGCCATTAAAGCTCAAGATGAAGAAAATGTACTTTTACAAAGGTCTTGTGCGAGTCAGTGCCAGTGCTTGACGAAAGGACAACCATATTTCAGACAGCCCAGAAAGGTTTTGGAGCCGCCGATGCACTTGAAAGGCTTTTAGAGGGCTCTTCAATGGTCTCCTCGAGGTCATCGTCGTCATCTCCATATTCCATCAGCTTGATTAACGTATCTGGCCCCAATAAACACAGGAGAAAGTAAATTAAATGAACAGATAAAAGGCAATGCTGATTTCTTCTGCTAGCCTTAGATATCAAAAGCGGAAGAGAAATGTTACAACTATCGGAACTCTTCAAACATATGCACAAGAAGCTACATCAATTTTTCTAAGAAAAACAATAATATACAGGCAAGAGTGGAAGTACCAGGGATGGCTTCATGTTTTGATTTATGCAGCATGATGTTGTTCTCAATAACTTTAGGAGTTGAATTAAACTTTGGCGGAGGAGGCGGTGGAGGCATGCTCTTGCGAGGGGCTGGCGGCATTCTCTTGGAAGGGGGTGGTGGAATTACATTAGGTGATGACCAGATCAACTTCCTTGGAGCTGCCATAGTTGGCACGTCTCTTGCACCTACATGTGATGTTAGTTCACGCGGCATTTGAAATTCTGATCCCTGTAACTGGGAAAACATTTAACATATCTCACAAAGTTAGAAGATGATATGGTGTCATAAATGATGTCTGAAAAGGAACAACTTTATAAAACCTTTGCAGATCTTCATCAGAAGTAGCTGCATCTGAACTATAAGTGAAATACATGTATGTGGGGTGAAGGTACTCAATCTATGATATGGTACAGAAATTGCAATGATAAATAGAACCATAGACTGATTCTATGACAATATGTACTACGCACATTGTTAAAGTGTAATTTCATCAGCCATTCATGGCTCATATGCATCCAAAAGACAATGGAAAAGAAAGGGTAGCAGGTCGAAAAATTGAAACCTAGAAGGACGTGACTTTGACAGCAGAATTGGCAGTTGGAAACAACTAAAGCAGAAACAGGTGCTCGGGTGCATTATTTGCAGACATATCACAGATCAGCTACAACAAAGATCATAAAATCCTGAACCGGTGCCAAAGAAAAGCAATGGAACAGCACACAGCCATCCCATGCCACTTCCATGTCAGAAAACCCTGTGAATATCGGCCTGTAAGCTTCATACAAGGTCAGAGAAAATACCTGGAATAAGAAGTAATAAACATCAGGACAAATGCAATTCATTTAATAATAATAAAGGGACAAAATCTCAATTTAGATGAACAAAGCTTAAAGGATTCTGTAGGAGCGATTAAATGCAAACCTACTGCAGAAAATCATATATGTACATCAACTTGCAAATTAAAGAGGAATAAAATTAACATAACGTATTGTATGTTCGAAGAATGATGGATGAAAATGTTATATAGTAGTGCAAATCAACCAGCACCAACAATATAATAGCGAATTATATCTTGTCGCATTTCAATAAAATACTCAAGATACAATAAATGGGATTGACATCTTTATCCACTATTTTCAACGTAGTCACTAAATCATGAAACCGTGTCATCAAACAGGAAGGTCGCAGCTGTTTGTTAACAATGTAGTCCCAGAATGTATATATGGAAACCAAGACAAGATTATCAGTGTTAGCTTGGCTGCCTGTATGACACTTGAAAGCAGTGATTTCCCTAAACAACGCCGTAGTCAAGTAGGCACTTTAGCCTTATTATGAAATTAAATACCCAGCAACCAGTTCCACTTTAAGTCTATTTGAGAGAATGTAATGCATTTACCATGACAGAAACTTAGAATATTCGTAACACAGGATAACAGAGAAACAAGTACCTCTTTTCCTGCAAAGGACAGAGGGGTCATAACACTGGAGTATCAGATAGTTAAACAGAAGGCTTGTCTGAATATATTTGATAGGATTTATTATGGCATATTAAAAAATTTAACATAAAGCAAAAGGGGTGGACAACCCAGTCAATTCCCTCTATAAAGGGACCCAAAAAAGTGCTTCGCTAATAGCATTTTAGATTACAAGACTTGTGTCTTGAACCAAATGAAAATTCAACTTCTAGCCATATGATATCAACTTTCACCAGGGATTAAGTTACTCAAACTTAACTATCCCAAAGTCTTAGAGTAGTCCACAGGGATAGTTTAACTACCTTGTGAATTTGTTCAGCAGAGTATGAAATCCTCTCAACATTCTAGTTAGGTTCCTCTAATATCAGAACTCTAGAACTACATGCTTGAAGATATTCAACCCCAATGCTAATATCAGGGTATAAACATTATGATTTATAATATTGTTCCTTTTTTTGTTGATAGGTAAGTATATAATTAAAATATTGTTTGAAATAGAACACTTAGCGCTAGTCATAAGAAGGCAAAAGAAACATCTTCACCCCCGACTCACCAAAGAAGTGAAAACTTTGACCAGTTTCAAACACAGTAATCGCTGATACCTGGTGGGAAGTTGCTGGCCCTTTTGCAGCAGTGGATAATTCCTGAAACTTTCGTCTCTGAGGGGGGCGCTTCTCCTCGGAGGGGCCCACTGTTGTAGGTGATTTTGCACTTGATGCTTTTGTTGCAGGACCAACTGTAGCAGTAACAGGAGAAGTTGATTGCCTAAGGGCTAAGGCAACTTGTTGCAAAGGTGTAGCTTGTGGATATATCCCTTCATAACCAATATAACTTGTTCCGCCAATCAATGAAAAATGTGGATGGCAACCAGTGCTTGCCTGAGGCATTCCAGGATCCAACAACCCCATAGATTGCAATCCTGCTCCATGAGAAACATCATCAGTCATGCCACCTGAAGAAGTCAAACTGGAAGCAACACGTTCTTTCACAACTGACTCATTCCCAGAACTTTGGACTTCGCCTAACAACTGAGGTGGAGGTGGGACAGCAACATACATTTTACATGAAGAAGCCCTGTAAATACAGATATGCAAGATCCCACAAGTTATCCTGTGGTGTGAGAAATAGCTTGGGGTCTAAAAGACACCATATACCGATTCCCTAAATGTGCACAAATGCAGATTGAAGAGATTCAAGCATGGAAAAAAGTGTTATTTTTTAATTTCTTCTTGAAAAAAAAAATCAATGAATAAAAGATATCCTCATCCATTCTTCTCATGGAAAAATATAATTAAAAAAATGATCATAGATAGATCAAAAATGTCTTTGTATACATGTGCTGAATGTTTCTCTCAAAATTCTTTCATCCCAAAAGGACATCATCTTTTTTTGATATTCTGATCGATTAGCATCATCGTTTTATAATTATTTTGATGTGTAAGTTATTCATGGAGTGAAAGATGGATTATGGATTCATAAAACAAGGCTCACTAGAAAACTTTAAAAACCCAAGAGTGTCTCTCACCTTATAAACTTTAAAGATATAAATGACATAATATGAACATATTTGTGTATATCCAGCAAACGCTAAACAGCTAATGACCACATTGTACCTGTTACGAGAATAAATGGATGCCATGGAATAGGGGATGCAAGTTTCTTTCCTTCTGTGATCATTTTTGCACATCTATTTATTCTTTTTATGCATCAGTATAAACAAATCTCATTACCTAGAGGCACCGCATTCGGCACTTATTGTGTCCAAAAGATTTTCAGCCAGAAGTTTTGCACGTTCAAGACGAATTGGATCATTGCTT